CGGAATCGGCCATTTCGATCGTCATCCCCTTTGCAATTGCTGATGACGCCGACAGCAAGTTACGTGTGAGCTCTGGTACATGTAACGTGTTCTCGACGGGCGGCGAACACGCGCATACCTGTACGCATATTGAGTGCAGCAGTACCTTTTCCGGCAACGACCATCTTGATCCCTGCTTTGGCGACCGTTATGTACATTGGCGCACTGAGATGTTCATAGTCGACAAACATACCGCGTGCGCCGCACATATGGTTGTTTGCTCCGCTATCCAAATCCCAGTCATCCCACTTAAAACGTGTACCGATATTGTTGACTGCCATGCTGGCGCAGTTGGTTATGGTTCCTGTGTCAACGCAGGTCACTTGGGTTCTAGTCCCATCGGAGCTGCGCTCTAGCCAGCGCACAAAACGCAATGTAAGATTTGTCCTTTTGTTCAAAGCCTTTTTGACAATCGCGCTTGTAGTGTTCGACACTACCGCATTTCCAGCACGCGCCTATTTTCTTTACTTTGTTTATATTCTTGGTGAGGCCAGCCAGCATCGCGGTGCGCTCCTCCTTGATGCCCAGCTCGTGTTGACGCGCTTCCTCCGCGAACACTCGATTAACGATATCAGGAAAAAGGAACTTGTCCGCCGACATACGGTACGCCTGCACAAGACGGTCGTACGAACTTGGTTGGCTGTGCAGCAATGTTGCACATAAATCTTCTTGGGCGACAGCGCACTCCGCACTCTCCAGGCACATCAATAATGTCTCGAGGTCACCGTCGTGCACCAACATCGAGCCAACACCATAAGTAAACGCGGCAAATTTCTCTTGGGGCCACATGCGATTCGCCACATCTTGGCCTTCGAGAATGCGCTGTAGCACCATCCACACTTCAGCTGCGCTGCCGGCGCTGATTACGTGCTAAAGCGTATTGTCGGTCAGGTTGTGCACAGTTGCAGCATGCGCTTGCTGCTGCTTGACGTTGTCGAAGACGTGCACGTTGCCATACACGAAACCTCATAGTCCTCGTGACAAGAGGTACAACTGCATCTGGTATGCCCATAGACTGTAGTTGGTGCCGTCACAACGGGCTGACTTAGCGTAGTTTTCACTGTTTGGGCTCATAACCTAAAGGATATAGGAATGGTAGAGGTAGAAGTGATGCGCGCTTGTGTGCGCAAATGCAGAAGTGAGTGTATTAATGATAGGCGCGCTAGCACGCAATTGTGTGGGCCCACGCGCAACTGTCTTGCGGGCCACACAATATGCTAAACTAAGTTTAGAGCTACGATCCCATCCCAAGGTATGTGAAGCACTCTAACTAAGTTTTGGTGGGAACCTAAAACATGTACACACTTTAATACGCAGACAGATGCAGTCTTAATCATAAAGCTTGAGCACGCACTAACCATCCTCAGTAGGAAATCGAGCTCACAATTTGCGGCTAGCATAATGATGCCAAATCACTTGAGCCAGTCACCATAACTTATGAGTTAGTGCAGGCATTGAGATTAACAGCATAACTAACAATCATGACGTCTCTCGGCTCATCGACCCAATCAACTTTGCGGTCGAAAAGTCTTGAGCACTTGCACGACTTCAAAGCTATTCGCCACGCCGGTATTTGCTTTGTTTATACCGACCGGGAGGTGTGTACCAAATCGGGGGGCGAATTAGTGACCATTTGTGGGCGCAGGCTCAAAGACCAAACCTACTCAAAATACTCCCACTGGTTTTGTGTGGATCTTCAACGACTTCCCGATGAAGTTAATCTAAAAATTTTATGAAAAAAAAGATTAAAACAAGTTTTCGATAGATTTAATTTCGACTGGTTTGCCAAAAAAAACACACCACCGGCGTACATCACACCGGCTCACGTGGTAGGAGGACTTCGCTCCCGCAGCCATTAAGTTTACTTTCACCAGAAAACACCCCCGGCTTCGGTATTGCTGGATAACTGTACCCCGCTTCGCTAGATCCAGTTTACTGGGCAAGGCTACTTGGTGGTTCATCACCAAACTCGATTCTTAAATAGCGTCACCATACCCTCTATCAAAAAAAATTGTGACAAGGGTAAGCCGACCCGACAGTCCAAGCCAGCCCCATCAGGCTTAAACGTGGACGGTACAACCAGTATCCCGCCTGCTTTTGATGACCAAAGCGACACTAGTGACCGTTCCGCCATGGCAGACGACTCTGGGTCGGACAGTGAGCCACATAATGGGGGCCATTCTGACCCGGACACCGATCGACGTACCACGATATACGGTACGAAAGCCGCAACTGTGGACCGACCCGAATAATCGGTTTGGCCTCATGAGAAAGTACCCAAAATTCGTGTCGACTCCAATCAAGCCACCAATCTTTCGCCAGCTCGGATTATAAAGGCAAAGCCTATGATTTTAAGTGCCGCCGCAAATTCAGCGGTAGATCTTCGATCCTTCTTTCTTCCCGAAAGGAATATCCTCCAGATACATCAATCGGTTCTTATGAGTGGTTGAGTGGAGATTTGGATGGACGCATTCCGCCAGACCAAAGTTTCATATTATGGGACGAGTCGATTGACCCGCCGCAATCTGTGGCCTTTATTTATGGCACTTACTGAAGTAAGTGAGGCTGTTCTTAATGGGGCCATCTAGCGAGGCAATGCTGTGGAATTTTCCCTTAAGGAGCTTTGCAAAGTTTTTGAAGAATTAATGGTCACCTCTACCCAAATAGTGATCCAGATATTTTGTTGTCGACGGTTCAAGCTTAACCTAGTTTTCACCGGGTCTTGCTTGTACGGGAATAAATTTCCAAGACCTCTGCACCAAGGCTTTTAGACACGCCGTGCTTCCTGAGCTAAGAACTCGTACATACTCGTCAACCGACGATGATAAAATGCTTGATTGGGTCTCCACTCTATACCCCAACCAGTCCAACTACTTCTTTCAGACTATTTAAGGGCGACTGTGTCTGGACCCTCTAAAATTAAGTGCCGTCCTTGGGATGGCAGCATCGGCTCTGCACTCGATGTGGCTTCTCTTGGATGATTTGACTGTGGCTGCCATCATCACGTTGCCATGATGCGCATTTTGGCTGGGCGTCTTCCCACTGTCGTTTGCGAGACATTCAAAGCTAAACGAGAGCGGGCCACTTAAAGTGGCCACTTGAGTTCCCACTCATCTCTGATGTGCGGTGGGCCGTACGGGGTTGCTCTCTTAACGCGAACGGTCTAAATAACGTCACACAACGCACCTTGAAATTTTTATAGCAATATTTTCTTAGTGGGAATTCAACAGGTAAAGTTGACGGGAATCAAGACTTTGAAAAGAGCTAAACATCATTGGAGTATGGCTTCGCGGCTAGATTTTTGCTTTTGATCACATAATAATATGACCACATACACAATGCAGACCGGTGTCGGTCTACTATTAACGTCATCTTGCCCAATCTTTGTGGCATAACGTGTCTGTATATGAGCTCTTTGAATCACCTATCGCGGTATCAACTTAAGAAGACTCCGGGGTCAGATGGTCTACCCGTAGAGCATTACAAGACAGACTCACCTCTCTGGAGTCGAATATTTGAAGTGGTCTATGTTGCCCAATTCGAACACGGCAAAAGGACTAAATCACAACGACGAGCCCACGTCTCGCTGCCTTAAAAAAGGGTGATCGAAAACTTTCGGGTAACTATCGTCCAATTTCACTACAAAATGTGGATGCCAAGCTAGGACCAAAACTTTAGCCCATAGACTTGGCTTGTATGCAGCAGTTTGCGCCACTCGGATCAATATCGACTTGTCCCGGGCCGCAATATCCGCCACGTCCGCCTGCGGTTTCGAGCACTGTCCCATTTGATCGCAAAACGAGATTCCCCTGCTGGCGCGGTTTTACTTGACTTTGCTAAAGCCTTTGATAGTGTCGTCTGGGATACACTTGACTTGGTTTTGATGCACTTTGGATTTGGTGACTCATTTCGACGCTGGATACGAGTCCTCTTTCTAGGCACACTATATTCCTTAATGTTCAAAAGACGACCAATCGACCCACTCGAGCTCGAAATCGGGGTTCGCCAAGGTGATCCTCTTCGTCGGCACTCTTCGACTTATTTCTTGAGCCATTGCTCAACTATGAACGGGTCCATCTTCATGACTTTGGATTTCGTATCGACTCAACAACTCACGCGGTTATCAGTTTGCTGACGGCTGTACTAGGCTTCTCCACGATTTAAGTCATACTAACGTCGTTTTACAACTCGTAGAAGATTTTTGTGCGGCCTCCGGTATGCGCCTTAACAACGACAAAGCAGTGCTTTTTCATTTCGAGCCTCGGATCGACGAAACAAGACCTATACGTCAAAGCCTTCAAAACATGGGGTTATTGTGGTGGAAAATACTGAACACACTAACTTAATGGAAACCCGGTGCTCAATTTGGCTTCATCACACAAGAAATCTACGCGGGCAGGTAGACATTCTTCAGCAAGTTATTCTAACTGTTCTATAGTCTACCGCGTCTGCCATATCCCGGCAACAGGATTTGAAGACCAGCTTTAAAAGCTTATTTCACGCTTCATGTGTCAATTTAAGACATCAAACGCACTGCCCCGCGACTGGTGGCTCCTTCCCTACGCAATTTTGCGTTGTCCAAAACGTAGGGTGGCCCTTGGGTCTTACTGGCACTATGTGCTTTTCACTTGAACAGCCAGTTTCGGCAAAAGCTCACCCGGCGACAGGTTAAAAATAACAAGTTAACACCACCCATTTAAAAGTGGATATTGCCTATTGCTACCGGTGCAGCATTTCGGCGGGGACTTCACGGCCGCTAGGCTTAATTCGTGTACTGAGGGATCAAGGAAGTTTTTGCCCAGCTCAACTTTTTCAAGTTTGTCCGCCCCCGGCGTCGGCTGCAAGATTTATGAGTCAATTTTGCTCGGGTAGTTTAGTGAGCGAGCGCTGGTGTGCCAAATTTCTTGGATAAGGCAGGGGGTCTTCTTCACTTATTGACTCCGTATCCGATTGGGCCCAGCCAGGCGCTATTACGCCGCAGGCCACACCTGGGTTTTGATACTTAAGAAGTATCGGAACTTATCGTGGCTCATAACCGCTCAATGCTTGCTGAATTTTCAGGGCTAGCATTGCCCCTTTCCTGGTTTGGCGTTTTAAGTAGTCCCCTCTGTCAATGTGGATCAGGGATTTCAAAATGGGCAGGCACGTTCTGCCAGTCTAATCGGATCTACTGTACATGCTCCAGCATAACGCTCTCTTTATTGTTTATCGACTTCAACACCTATCCGGTGCTCAGTCGATGTGTCACCATGAATGCGAAGTCCTAGAAACGACCCCGTGTCTTTAATTATTTTGTGACTTTGTCATACAAGTCTGGGCAGGCAGGATAACCGAGTTACAAGCACTTGAATGGAACTCAGCCTTTTTTCATAAATCGGAGCCAAAACCAGCAGCTAAGGCCCGCTATGGCTGTAACATCTTTATGGTTTTCCACATTGTTAGAGTAGTGATTTTCGGTGTCTATGGCTACATCGGAATGATATCCGCTTTCATTACTTTCAGGCCAATGTTATGGACGTTCAAGCTCGATTCAAAGCCGTCGTAGTGCTCCACATTGAGCGATACTATCAAGAACTTCTTTATGAATCTCTGAGCCATTTAAAACTCAAACGGCGAAGTTAGTAAGAGCTGCTGGCAAGCCTTCACCTTTCTAAAACGTTGCCCCTGTGTCCCGAGGCGATGGATAATTAACGGCTTCACTGTGTATAGACAAATTGGTGTTAACAATGGCTGCATTGCTGCGTGTAGCCACCCTCAAAGTTTAACAAACCCACTTTTTCGTGTGTCGAGATTTGGGTACTCTCTTACTGGAAGGGAACAAAGAGTATGCCGCTTGTTTTTCCAAATGGGGCAAACGTTTTTGAGAAAATCGGACTTTTTTCTTTTTGAATTTGGTCCTTTTGGACTTGGTTTTTTGAAGGCTAGGATTTTTTTAGATTTTTTCCTACTGTTCAAGTTCGTCGAACCCGTTTTACTAATGCGATCGCGTGGCGCCACTGGCTACTCCGTTCCACGTCACAATTTGCGCAGACATTCTGGTATGACAGACCTATAGCGTTAGCGATTCGCACGCCATACGACACCAACTCACCCGAGGGCTTCACTAAGCGTTAAGGTGGCTTTTCAAAAAGGGGATTTCGCATATCACCGTTGCCTAGCCGTGACATCGATTATCCCACGATAGTCGCAAAGAATTTACCACGAGCACCATATTTCAGACATTTCGTGGCAGAAGACAACTCTAAGTCCTAAGACCATTTCATGCATCAGGAGACCCAACCCAATTTTTGGTCGCAGGGGACTTGAACCCGCGGCAAAAAAATTCTGAAATCTGGCTTCCGAAGCTTTCAGCAGCACAATACATGTTGCGTCTCACCATGACACTGACCAAATTGCCTTATCAAATGACCACGTCACAATTGTGACATCCAATAATTATAGTGGGGTGACGTGAACAAGCTCCTGTCACTGTATTAAGCCAGATCGGCTTATATTATTTCTCAATGGCATACGGAATAGAAGGATAATTGTCTTGCTTTTTTCTGTGAGACATGTGGTGCCGATGTCTCTGTGTGCGAATTTTACATATCCAATAGAACATTTAGGATTAACTTTCAAAACATTAATAAATATTA